GAGGAGCAGGAGAAGGAGCAAGAGGAGGAGGAGCAAGAGGAGGAGGAGCAAGAGGAGGAGGAAGTGAAGAAGGGGAGAAGGAGGAAAAGGAGGAAGAAGGGGCACTGTTTAGATAGAAAAGCTCCCAAACAGGTCCACCTATTTTGAATTCAGAAGTTGTGTTAATTATTTTTGATTCTGACATAACAGAATAACCTAAAACACAGAATGAATAAAGGACTGAAAACAATTTAACTTCTAGGAAAGACAAAAATCTAGTAAGAACTACTGATAAAAAAAGACTTTTTTTTTTTTTAAAGACAGCATCTGACTATGTAGCTTAGGCTGGCCTTGAACTTGCAGTGATCCTCCTTCCTCAGCCTCCTGAGGGCTGGGATTACAGGTGTGTGCCACATGCCTAGAAAAAAAAAAGGCTTATCTTAATGACACTTTGAGGCCAAAATACAGAAAATTAGGAATACATGAGATTTCATAAAATAAGAGATTATGACAAAAAGTTCATTACTCAAAGTAATATCAAAGTGTCAAGCATACAAAGTACACTTCTTCAGTTCTAAAGGGGAAAACAATTTTATGATTAGAGAAAAGGGAAAAAGGAAGAATTCTAGGTAGTTGTCTCATTCTACAATGTAGCCATCAAGTCTTATTCTAGCCTACTATTCTGATATAATTTTTCTGGTCTGTTGTCCAAATACGATTAAATCGAATTTGTGCTCACATTTACTACATTCAAAAATTCAAGCACACAGTCCAATATTCCTCTATCAAGTCTTTTACTGACAACTGATTGCCAGCATATATAAGTGACTGATATCAGAAAATTTTCTAGTTTTTTTCCAGATAATTTCCTAAATAAGAGATGAATGCATGCCTGAAGGGAAGAGTTTATTAAGTGAGGAGAAAGAGTACAAAAAGAAAACACAGAAAGACCAAGGACATCAACTAGTATTGTATAGTTTTTTGCCTAAAGGAAACCTTCCAATCTACCTGAACAAGTATGAACAGCAACAGCCAGCACTGCACATGCGCCACCCTTAGTAGGAATAGCACTTGTCAGGGTATGATGCAACCCAACCTGGCATCACAAAGATGTATTTTAATACAGTGGACTCATTATAAAAGAGATCCCATCCCAGGATATTCCCTAGTCAATATATTATTATAATTACACAGCTTAACCAAGATTGGCGATAAGAGATCTGGAAAACAAAATAATACAATTTACAATGGTAATAAAATTGTACAAACTCCTTTCTATAGAAACACAAGACAAAAGGAACAGATAATAAATATCATATCCTGGTATCACATTTTTAAAAATAACAGTATGGTCATACTATACCTTCTCATACCACATAGTCAGAAAATAACATCAGGGGACTACATAAATAGTCAGAAGTAAACATTTAATGCCAAAAATATAAGTTTCTGTCACCAGAATATTCTACTACAAGTGCTTACAAAGTAATATCAATACAGGACATGAAATTTATTTACTCCTCAACATAATTTTAAACGCTAAATATCTACATTCTATGTCCAAGATGTATAACAGTAAAAAACAACCTTCTTAATATCCCAAAAATGATGGCAGTTAAGTATGTCATACTTTAACAATGTGTAAAAGTTCTGCTATTTTTTAAAATTAGAAAACCACATAATGTATTACACAAGTATAAAAGAGTACATGGAATACACCATTATGTTTCTGGTAATTATATCCAGTGATAAGATTACAGAATTTTAAAAAGCTTTTTGTATTTAATTTTTTCTAATTTTTCTATAATGAACATCCTTTACCTCTATAATTACTGTATCACTTTTTTTAGAGCAGTTAAAATTTAATTTAATTTTTTCTAATTTTTCTATAATGAACATCCTTTACCTCTATAATTACTGTATCACTTTTTTTAGAGCAGTTAAAATTTAAAAGCTTGTCAGGTAAGATAAATCTTTAGAATAAAATGTGTCATTACACACAAGCACAATTTTTCATTTCCCCCCATAAATTGTAAATTTATTTGACAATCATAAGACAGTCCTTTACGTGAACATAAGGAAAACAGTTCAATTAAAAGACCACAGTGCACTGAGGTTTCCACTGAATCTCAACTTCAAATTTTAAAATATGTATGTATGTATGTGAAACTGAGGATTGAGCCAGGACCTTTACATTGAACATTATCACCAGCCCTTTTGATTAGTTTGAGATGAGGGTCTTACTAAGTTGCTAAATCCAAGCTCTGGGCTTGAATTTGTGATCCACCTGCCTCAGCCTCCCAGAATGCTGGAATAAGAGGCACGTGCCACCACATCTCAGTTTCAACTTCAGCTTTAAGATTACTTCTTGGAGGAATTTATCCTATCATCTCTAATATTGATATCTACAGACAAAAGAGATCCACTTTTAATCATTCATAGCCACCCCTCATCACCAAATACATGTGTTATCAGCTCTTACAAAAAGAAAATACAGTGGCACTACTGTATTAAGGAAAAACTATTCATCACTAAACATTAAAACCTGAGTGGAATGGTCAGTGGAAAACATTTGTTTTTTGCAGTACTGGGAAATGAAACCAGAGGCTACAGAGCTACCTCCACAGACTTAAAGACAGAACATTGCTAAATTGTCCAGCTTGTGTAGAAATTGTGATCCTCCTGCTTCAGCCTCCTGAATAGCTGAAATTACAGGCAAGCACAATTTGTCTTTTAACTAAATATAATTTTAACATTTATATAGTTAACTAAATATAATTAACTATAAATAGTTAAGGGCATGCTTATAATTTCAGGAGATAGGAACATGCTTTCCAATTATTGGCAATTTTGTCTTAACTTTAGCTAGCCTGGAGGTCTTCAAGCACTGGTAAGTGGAAATTGTCCAGGGTGTGTGCCAAACACAGAAAGCTATGGCCCCAACACTCAACCAACTGAATGCGAATCTTTGGAGGTAGGGCTCTACACAATCTGGCCCTTCCAAGACAGCAGGGTAGAAACTATTTAACCAAGAACTTCTCTATAGAAGGCTGGACTGAAGCCCATTGTAAACAATGTTATTGTAAACAATCAGAGGGTTACAATTTCATAATCCTTATCCATTAATTTATCCACTCTAGTCTTCCACATAGATGTAACTCAATAAAACCACACATGCATTGCAAAGCCCCAAAGCACCTGTGCGTGAAAAGACAAAGGCATATCCGATTCCTGAAGAAAACAGACAGCAGATGTAACCCCTAGTATTAATTCACTAAAAACAATGTGTCCTAAAAATAAATTTCCTTGTCAACGGAACAAAACTGTTTATAAATAAGAAGGAATGTGGAGGTGCAGGGAAGACAAGAGGAAGCTTCAGCAAATGAAGTACCAAAAGCCAGGAAACAAGGCAGAATGAATGGTGACTGGGCACAAGGGAAACAGAACACGCTGGGAATGGATGAAGGGAAAGAGCTCTAGCCTTGGAGTCCAGGAAGCTGAGGGAGTAGGAACTGATCTGAGGAGAAATGTACACTGGAAAATGGAATGATTTTAAGAAACAAAAATATGAGAAATTTAGATCAACTAACTACAGAACACATTTAGGGCACAGATGGAAGATTCTATGAGTGGAAAACAAATATTATTGGGGACAAACTGCTACTGAATAAAGCAAGTGTACTGGATGGATTTTCGAAGTAGAGATGATGAAACTGGGGGAAAAACCCGAAAACTACACCGAGAACTGAGAGACAAAAAACAATGTCGCAGGAAGGAAAGAACTTTGAGTAAAGTCACAGAATAAGTCACATTACCTAACCACTCATTGTAAAGCACAGTTATCTGTAAAGCACACTGGTGTATATTTTTTTAATGTAATAAATACTAAAATTAAATGTCCACTTGAATAAAATATGTAAGTTATTTGACAAGGTGACAAGAAGGTGAATAATACTAAAGAAAGGTCACAAAGCAAGTACTAAAGAAAAGCAAGATTGAAAGGGCGAACACAGTACAAAACGGAGGACCACACACAGAGAAAGCAATCAAACCTACTTTAAGAAGGGACACCGAGAGACTAGCTAAAAACTGCCCCTAGCGCAAGGGTTCAAAGAAGTGAGCGAAACCTGATGGAATCTTGACAGCTTCAGGGTTCAGAAAGTGAGGCGGCCCGTGTCCAGAAGGACTTGTGAAGATAACAATAGATGATGCTGCTGACTGGGAGCGGGGTACGGAGCTCAGGGCCTCCAGAGGACGGGGGTGAGACGTGCAGAAATGCTCTCCCGTGGAAGCTGAGCCTGGGAGGGGGCAGGTCCGACAACTGGAAGCCCGGCGGGCGGCGCACGCGGATGGGATGGGGGTTACCCGCGGCGACAGAGCACGGACGATCAGGACTGGGGACCCGAGCCCGGGACGGCCACCGAGCGGGGCGGAAAAGTCCGGACTGAATCAAAACCACCCGCTGGATACAACCGATGGAGAGCAAGTCCCCCGAAAGTAGAAAAATGGAAGGAGGGGCAGCGGCCTGAAGCGGGGGCAGGGCGAGAGGAGACCGAGCGATGCGCCCGTCACCCACGGCCGCGCGGTGATCGCTCGGGCAGTGCCTCGGGCCGGGGTCCCGGCCGCCAGGAGACCGCATCCCCCACTCGGCCGCCGCTCCCTCCCGCCCCCCGCCCCCCAGAGGCAAACATCTCAGGGATGCAGGGCTGGATGCCTCGGCCAGGCGTGACCTTCCCCGACAGCCCCGCGTCTCGCCCCCTACTGACAGCCGCCTGCACCGCCGCCGCGGCCCCGATCGCGCTCGGTGGGGGCCGGGGAACCCCCCGGGCCGCTGTGTGTGTTTACGTAGCGACGAGCCGCTGGGCGGAGGGGGGCCCGGGGCGATGCCCACCTCGCTCCCCGCCGCGGGGCGGCCGGGGACTGCGGCCGGGGGCACGGAGCCCCCGCCGCTGCCTCTCCCCACATAAACACCGGCCGGCCGAGCGGAGCCGGCAGGGGCGGCGGGTGGCGCCGGCACTCACCTCCTCGGGAATGGCAGGGTCTGCAGCCGAAGAGGCCGCGGCGCCGGCGCCGGCCTCGAGCTCCATATCCCCGTTGAACAGAGCCTGGCCCTGCTCCGCGCCGCCGCCGCCGCTCAGCGCCGCCATCTTATAACCGAGAGCCGGGCCCGAGCGGCCGCCGCTGGGCGGGGAGGGGGAAGGCTTGTTTTGTTCAATAAAATAATTGCTAGTTTCCCAAATCCAAGCAGAAATTATTTTTCTATTTCACATCTTAAGCAAAAATGATATTTATGACTATATCACTAATAATAAAACCATGCATTGAACATCTGTAATATTTTTGGTATTGTAGGCACTATAAAAACTTTAATCCTAAGTTATTAAGTAGTCCTCCTTGATTTAATAAAAGAAGATCAGCAGAAAAGTACAGAATTAATTTGCAGTTTCAGGAAGAGTTGGTTAACCTCAGGGGGAATATAGCTATATAAATAAACTTTACATGATCTTTTCTTATTTTACCATACAGAATACTCTTTTGTCTT